GCTGGCTGAGGAATTCTGGGAGTTGAAGTCCACAAGTCTTAAAGTTGCCAAGGTTGGACACCCCTGGATTAGATACTCTCAAATATGAGTTTTGGAGAAAGCAATCTTTAAGTGGTCCCTAGGAGGCACTATTTGAAATTCCTGATAGGGATAAAGAAAGAATTTAACCAGGAAAAAAGAAAGGTAGAACTTTTAAAAAAAAAAAACATTGTTACAGTATGGTTAGTTGCACAGTCAGCCAAATATTTAGACTGGATTTGACATTTGTATCCATATCAAGTCTTTTTCCAAGGACTTAGATAGATATATGTGGTTGTTAAATAATATTTAAGGTACCAAACAACTTATTTAGTAATTAAGTTACTGTTAAAAATTATTCATATATATACAAAAATATGAAATCACAGATGCCAGTTCTTTAGCTGTTGTTGACCTTCATATGCATTGAGTTCTTCCCAACTACCTAGGATATTGTAATATATTGGTTAGTATATGTGCAGATCAAAGCAGCATGGCCTTTTGTAATTGTCAGGTAGGGGTTTTTTATGCACAAAGATTTTTTGGTATTGTACCTGTGTGCCAATAACTCTTGGAATCACCATGAGCAGTTTATGCCACAATCTTTCAATGTTGGTTTTCAGATCTTGATACTTTATGATCAATTCTTTGTCTTCTAGTTTACTATCCCCTGGTATTGCCACATCAGTTAATCACACTTTCTTCTTTTCAAGCATAGTTAAATGTGATTTATTATGAGCCAAGATTTCTTCAGTTTGTATTTAGAAATCTCACAATGGATTAATTTGCTCATTTTTGCTACTTTTCAGCTCTATATTCCCATCAATTTATCATTACTAGCAGATTATAATTTTTACAGATGTTCCAGTGAATTATTGTGGTGACTGTGTTATATCATTTATAATCAGTTTGTGTGGTCTTCTTTCAGCAATGGAGTATAAGATCTACTGTTTCTTCTGCTTCTTTGTACATCCTGCACTTTGAATAATTTGATGGCTTTTTATTTATTTAATTTAATATGCTTGTCAAAGATGCCCTAAATCAGAATTATGATTATAATTTTAATAGACTAATTTTGAGAACAAGCTGTCTTCCTTTGGAAAGATAATATAGTTTCTATTGTAGTGGTTAGGACTACATGTCAGCACTACTCTGAAATTCAATTATTCACATTTTGTTAAATGGTACTTCTTTTTTATGTCATCTTTCCTTCAAGGCAGTCAGGAACAATATCTAAGAGCTCAAAATCAACATATAATAGTAGAACTGAACAACACTTTTATTCAAAGATGAGAGTTGGGCTATATTATGATGCCTATAATCTCCAAATATATCCAGTAGCTTAGTTAATTTAAATAGTATCTTATTTGGAAAAAATCCATTAGTGTCTTTCAAAATATTTAAATGGGTCAAAAAAAGCTGTAACACAGTTTAAATAAAACATTTCCATGAAAAGATTGTCATAAAAAGAATTAAACTGGAATTAAACTTCAAACATCAGGAAACATCTCAAGAACATGTCATTTCCCATGTCATTTCAGTACTGCATTATTCAAACCCCATTGCAAAGATTTAAGATTTAAGAGCTGTACTACCTAATTTTTATATTGCCCTTTCATAAGACTCAGGGTGGTGCACAAGCCGTTAAGAAACAATAAATTGTGCCATGAATACCGTGACCTCAACCTAAAATGAACTAAAATCCATAATGTAGAAGATAGACCTAACAGACTCCCAAAGAAAATGCTCAGAAATCAAGGTCCCTTTCAAAAGTACAATTTTCATTGCACTTTGGAGGGGTAGGCTCACTTCTGGGATTGACATATTTCATCAGGGGAAAGCTACCACAATGAAGTCTGGCCACCTGGTCTTATCAGGTCTTACTTAGAAGCTACCAAGGTGGGCAGTCATGTTGGAAGAAGTTCCTGATTTATTTTACAGTTGTCAATTGGTATGGTACTTTGAGGTTTGTGCAAGCAAGAGGAATCCTTCTTGCACATTTTCTTTTTAAAAAATGGGGTACAGTCTTAGGTTGTTAGGAGATAGGCAAAGTTCTTTGATCTTTGGCCTTTCATGGAAGATTACCATAATAAAAAATGTGTTCATAAAAGGAGATAATCCTACTTGGATTGCCTCTCCTGTACTTTGAAAAGATATAGTCCAGAAAGAGGACTACCAGATAATTAATTCTTACATTGAGTAGATCCACGGATTCTTGTTGCTATTCCTGTTTCCTTCCCTCTTAGTTTCAACTTCCATTCTGTAAAACTGAATTACTCAAAACTAAAATACTCAAAATGCTCATTTTGTTGCATGAAATATTATGGAAACTTTGAAAATATTTTACAGATTGAAAAGAATAAGAATACAACATGAATTGGGAAATTGAATACCCAGAAATATAATTAAGTAAACAACTGAAATGAAAGAGATAAAGAAGAGAACATAAGTAACTGGATGGATGGATGGATGGATGGATGGATGGATGAATGGGAGATAGATAGATAGATAGATAGATAGATAGATAGATAGATAGATAGATAGATACCCTGTTTCTCCAACAATACGGCCTCCCCCAATAGGAAGTCCCAGCATGTTTGATAGGCATGAAATGAAATTAAGCCCCTCCCCCCAAATTAAGGCCTATATTAAAACATGCGAAATGGGGGGGAATGGTGGGGGGGTTTGCCGTTAGGAAGTACTTTTGTGGCACACCTGGATATGGTGCTGCCTGCGTTGACCCCGATACGAAGTGCCCCACCAACACTGAGGTCAACATCCAAGCCATCGCCGCCCGCCCGAACATGCAAGGGGGGGCAATTAAGTCACCCCTGAAAAGACAGCCTAGCCATTTTTTCAGGGCTCAAAAAAGAATAAGACCCGGCCTTATTATATGAGAAACACGATAGATAGATAGATAGATAGATAGATAGATAGATAGATAGATAGAT